GGGACCTCATTAAAATTAAGACTATCTACTCTGTGAATGATACTTAAGATAATCAAAATATAAGCCACCAACTTGGAGAAAATATTTTCAGACATACAGCTGTATATCCAAAATATACAACAACAAAAAATTCTTAAAACTTACCAATAAGCAAATAAACAAAAATGTCAAAAGATATGAACAGATACATCACTGGAGAAGATATATAGAAGCTGGGCATGCTACTACACACCTGTAATCCCAGCAATTTGGGAGACTGAGGCAGAAGCATCACAAGTTTGAGGCTAGCCTTAGCAATGGGGTGAGACCCTCACTTACTGAAACCCTCACTTACTGAAACCCTGTCTCAAAACAAAAAAATAAAAAGGACTGGGGATGTGGGCTTGTAGCTCAGTGGTAAAGCTATATATATATATATGAAAATAGACATGAAATTTGTTTAATGTCATTTGTCATCAGATAATTACAAAACAAAAATGGGATACCACCTTACACTTATCACAATGGCTAAAATTTAAAATCTTTAAAAACTGACAATACCAAACATTGGTGAGGTTGTAGAACAATAAAAACTTATACATTGATGATGCAGGAATGCAAAATGATGCAGTCACTTTGATAGTGACTTGCAAAGCTAAATATAGCTTTATCATGCAATCCAACAATCACACCCCTATGGATTTTATTCAATTGATTTGAAAAGTCATGTTCACACAAAACCTGCACAGAAGTGTTTATAAAATTTTCTCTATAATCTCCAAAAACTGGAACCAAGGTGTCAGTAGGTGAGATGGATAAACAAATTGTGGTACATCCATACAATGGAGTATTATGCAGCAATAAAAAATACAAGACCTTTGGGCTGGAGATGTGGCTCAGTGGTAGAGTGCTCGCCTAGAACATGTGAGGCCCTGAGTTCAATCCTCGGCACCACATAAAAATAAATAAAATAAAGGTATTGTGTCCAACTACAACTAAGAAATAAATATTTTTTAAAAGTATATGGGCTTTTATGTCACAGAAAGATTTGGATGCACATTGCTAAGTAAAAGAATACAATATAAAAAAACTACATAGTGTATGATTCCAATCCAAAGACATTATGGAAAAGGCCAAACTAAAGATAAAATAAAATGATTAATTTTTTTCTCTCTTTCTTTTTTTTGGGGGGGTGGGGGTGGTAGGGGTTGCGACCAGGGATTGAACTCAGGGGTACTCAATTCCTGAGCCACATCCCCAGCCCTATTTTGTATTTTACTTAGAGACAGGGTCTCACTGAGTTGCTTAGTGCCTTGCTTTTGCTGAGGCTGGCTTTGAACTCATGATCCTCCAGCCTCTGCCTCCTGAGCCTCTGGGATTACAGGCTTGCACCACCATGCCCAGCTAAAATGATCAATGTTTGCTGGGAATTCGGGAGCAGAGGGAAGCAATTAAAAGGTGAAGCATGGGGGATGTTAGAGCAGTGAAACCTTACTGTGTAATACTATAACGATGAATTTGCTACAAAATACATTTGCCGAACCCAGAGAACTTTACAAAGAATGAGACTTTATGCAAATTTTTTTAAAAATCAATTAGGAGGTCAGGGATCTC